TCCTATCTGATCGAAAAACGCAATACGGAAAGTTGCCTCCTATTTCACTATCAAAAATTTTTGGAAAAAACCATGTTTCGGTGATAAAAACAAGATCAGGCTTGTAATCAGAAAGAAAGGCATGAAACTGTGGAATTTTGTTAATCAAACTTCTGGCATTGATTAGATAAGCTTTGATTTTATGCTGAATACCGTGCGAAATTATGCGTTTTCCGATCTCCGATTTGCCAGATCACTAACTTTTACCAATTGACCGCGAAAAACTACCCATTCTTTCTTCTTCTTTCCTTTATTGCGTTCTCGTGCCATCTCTCTGAGTTCGAATTCCTTCTTGCGTTCATCTTGCGTCATACTCCGACGAACAAATATACCAGCAAACCCAGCGTGTCGTAGCAAGTGAGCATTAGCAAGAGCACGTCTCCAGTAAAAGGTAGACGGTAGCACACATTTGATAAGCCTGGAATTTGATGCATTCGATTTTCCCATTGTAAAGCTCACTGGGGGGACAATCGATGTCCAGGGCCTCTAAAATTGAATCTACCTTTTCCTGGAGATAGTTACGTCTTTGCGGTGCTCCCATGTTTTCAGGTGGCTCCTCCCTCCACTGATAACGAGGCTACGAGATCTTTTTTCATCATCAATTATAGCTGAAAACTCTTTCGGCAATTTTTCCGCCAACGCTTTCAGCATATCACTAATGATGGGGTCTCGATTACGCTCTATTATTGAGATCAAATTTTGGGCGGTCATATTGTTATAATCCTCGATACCCGTTCCGCTGGTCTGTTGCGTCGAATTCATGTTCAAACTCGTAAGCTGAGAGCCACCTGGGGATTTTTTGTTTGTGCACGCTTTAACACGTTTGACTGGCATGTTAAATAGTTCTAGTGGGTTATCGATTTTGCACAAAAAAAACGTCAAAAACAATGAAAATTGACGATGCTGGAGTAAAATCCGCAAATGACCGAAGCTGTACAGAACTCGAATACAGATAAAAGGTCTAACTCCAAAACGCGAAATAAACACTCACAGAACACGATTAATTGGAAGTAGGGAGAGAGCACAAAACTGGCAACCGCTCGCCAACTCAGACACGAGAAGAATATGGCAGTAAAGTATGCGTGTGCTAATCAGAATCTGTGGTGTAGACTTTAACTTATTAACATCTGCTTCGTCATCAATGGCCAACGGATTGGATTTTTGACTTGCCCACCGTACTTTTCCCACTCTAGCACCTTAGATCTAGTCTGAGACTTGCAGCATGGGATCCTCAAAGCCAGGAAGCGATGAAACCGTGTGTTAAAAACTTACCGCACCGAGTTAGGGTACAATTTTGAGGCTATCTGTTTAGGTTTATCTTTGAAAAGAGCTTCAATAGCGTCCTTCCGCCTTACAGATTGTAATTGGTGACATTTTATTGCCTTACGTTTAGCAATACGCTGTCGTCGGAGAAAAGGTATCAGTCGCTTTGATTCAATCTTAGCCGTCAAAGACCTCCTCTCTCTTGCCCACTCAATTGGTCCAAAGTGGAAGTACAGTCGATGTCAATTACGTACTCGCTTTCGCAAGGGAACTACGCATGCGCCACGCAAGGGTCCTGCATGCGGACCTCAAATCGATAAGGCCCACTTGAATGCCCGCGTCATACGCGCGCGAACGTGGCGCGAAGCTCACTGCATCTACGGAAAAGGGAGCACGTGGCTGACACGGATTGTAGCGAGTTTGTGGGTAGAGGAAGTGGTAGTGGAAGTGTTACTCACCAAACTATCACCCTTGTGTATGAGCGCTAGCTGGTTCAAGCGTGTTTAATCTACTGAAAATGAGCAGACGTGATGTGTTGAAAAGAATGAGAAAGTTGCAAGATCGGCTCTGTCTCGGTGATTGACGAACTATCTGGTCGGATAGATTGGGTTGACTTTCCAGAACTCTGAAGAATGCGAAACCGCCGAACGATCAGTCTGTGTCATAAATAGTGCAAAGAGCTTATGCTCTACATACCCTTTGATTCGACGAAATTGGCGGTTCGAGGACGGACCATTTGGGCTCCGCACCTCCTTCGTGAGCGTATTGTTTAATCATTTTCCCACCACGAGCGTGGGAAAGGCGAAGCTCAATCACTAGTGAGCAGATCGCAAAAGAGCTGCAGAACCGGCGAGGCGGTAGCGCGGACGTGAACACCACTTACCAGTCGCCAATCCCATTGAATCAGAGTTTTGCTTATACCAATGACATGGAAAAATATTCCAGGTTCTACCGTGAACGGCCAAATGAGAATGCTGCCTCTAACAGGAGAAGGACCGGAGGTTACCGCGGCCTTTTCACATGGCGTGTATACGGACCCAACATTTTTTCGGTGACAAAGTTGCACTGTTGCACATGTTCGCAATGGTCAATACGAGAGTTCTTGCTGTTTTCTTTATCGAGCTTGATTTAATGAGTTTTACAATGGTGGGTCACCCACGTTGCTCGATGTATAAAGCAGGCAACTTCGCCAGCAACAGTTCTGATGTCTGGAACCACACAAAATTCATTTGAGAAACCATCCTCAATTACTTCAGAATATCGCTTCGCAGATAGCGAACATAAATATTCCATTCCATCATTCCGAAATGAGTTTTCCATATGCCTCTCATATGAAGCCTACGGTGACCTCAAGTCAGGGCTCGAACGAGCTGGCACCAGGGAAATTTAAAACGAAGTTCCGTTTGATCTCGAAAATTTTGTACGAAGTCCCCTTTGACCTATTTGAAGACCCGTCATCATTTTTAGGTTATGTAAAACTATGTAGTAGGATTTTCATGCATGCTGATTTCATGAAACAATTCGTCACAGCTTTCTGTACTTTTTAAGCGGTTGAATTAGATCTCGAGAAGCAGAAAAAGCCGATTTTTCGACTGCAGAGCAGAACGAATGATTTCCAGATGGCTATAAAACGCTGAAAAGAAAACATTATGAAATTGTTTCTTCTCTGTATGTGAACTTTTATAGTGTTGATACATTTTATGTTAAAAAAAAGGTATGAAAACTTATGGGAGCAAGGTGTCGGTGGCAGCTGGCACGGTGCCAGCTAATTTGGAAAAAAGTTCAGCACAGCTTTCATTCACATAAGTTTTCATAAATTTTTGGGCCATAGTTCGGGTCCCTCAACGCGCATGCACACAGCAAATTTGGTATACTAGTGCGTTTCGGCTGAAAACAACGCCTTTGTTTGTTTGATGGACAGCATGCCGGTGGCATTCTTGCGGCTCTTCCCCGTCCCGGACCCCGGAAAAACAATATCCCCTTTGCTTACCGTCCTGGAAACGATATCCAGCTTGACCCGGCGCCAGCTATGCCGAGCCCTGCCCAGGTCCTTCCCTTGAAAGCAAAATAATGATGACAAATGCAAAAAGTGGCGGTCAAGTTTGTGCCAATGGGAAAGGGTTCTGTTTGATAACCCACTGACGACGGACCGGACAATCCATTGCGACGCCGAGGGTTTATGATAGCGCGATTAGTTCGCGTCGTATAGATTGCGACTCGCGCTTTGTCACAGTGTGACAAAGAGCTTCCGCATGCCTGCATGCACCCAACATCCGAGGAGTTTTACAAAAGGAATTATTTATATAAATCAGAGGTGTATTCCTGCTTCTTCAGTGCATGCACGATTATGTACAATACTTTAATTGACATAAGTATCAACCGACATGAACTCCCAATTATCTATAATTTTTCGTTATTAACGAACCAGTGACGAGGCCTGGAACTAGTCAAAAAGCCTTATAAAACGTTTTATTACACTGAGCTCAAATAGTCTTGATAAAATTTGGCAATTATTATATTTTTTTACTCTTTCTATGCATTTGTCAGTAAAGTCAAAGTAAAGATTTTTAGCATTACTTATCGCCAAGTAATTCTGGTCACATTGAATCTTGATAGAGTATATCCTGGGAAATAACAACTCGAATCAGATCAAGCCCATTATTTCAATCTACACTCAAATTTCTATAAAAACACTCATTGCACATCACATTCTCGGAGGAAAAGAACTGTTACCTAAGAAAAGAATATTAGGTTGTCCCAAAAGTAAACCGTATTTTTAAGTAGATCAAACTGTTTTTGTTTTCCTAGTAGACTTAGGGTATTATTTAGAGCGAAGCAAGCTCTACAAAATGACCGCAAAAGATCCGACTATGTCGTAATCCAGGTAAAGTTTGGCGCAAAAATCGAGAAAAAATTTATTACCTGAAAATTGGATTTTTGCGAAGAATAATCGTACGGAACTCAAACTTGGTCATTATCAGTAAGACACATACTAGTACTCAAATATGCCTTTACTGGATTTTTTCCTAGCTTAGAAAGCGAGAAAAAACAGATAGCCTGAAAATGGCAAACTCCGTCCCCAGCCCCTCCCACATACGTCATTGTATATTACAAGCCTTACTTAGTATAACCTTGAAACTTTACCTTTGTAGGTCCTTTTATAATAGAGTAATACCAAGTTTTACATGAAAAACTCGAAAAAAGTGGCATTTTGGCATTGGGACCATCTTTTTTCTCAATTTGAGCTCCGAGAAAAATCAAACAAAAACATTTTTGGGTACTACTATGTGTCTACTGTATAAAGACTAAGTTGAAAGTCCGTAGGAATTTTCTGGAAGGAAATCCGATTTTTCGGGTAGCTGAAAAATTTTGATTTTTGAGTCCAAATATTACTTGGATCGCAAGTTAGACGGTTCTTTGGTGGTCATTTTGTAGAGCTTGCTTCGCTCTATCGAATGGTGCCTTATGTCTGCCAGGAAAACAGATACAATTTGATTTATTTAGAAATACGGTTTACTTTTGGGACAACCTAATATTTGCTCAACACTGTTTCGTCTGATTCTGTCAATTCAACAGTTTCCTACATTCAGTTTGCTTCGCATCAAAGGCTCTGAACTCTGTTGGTCACCCTACAGAGCAAGTTTTTTCTACTTCAAATAACTAAGACCCAACACAGCAGCAGTAAAATATTTGTCGTATCAAAACCCATAATGAGCTGTACACTCTTCTAATCCACTGTTGAACAGATAAATCCTGAAAATATCACTTCAAAGAGATGTTTTACCTACATCGATTTCCAGCTAACCTTGTCACATAGTTGTTGTATACGGACATGACTGTATAACTTTCTTCTTCGATAATTCGCCGTACAAATGCGATAAATATTTGTATCCGTTCGAACTCCATAGTAGGCAAGTCTATGGTAATCTGGAAAAATTCTTTGTGTCTCAAGATGGAATATTGAAGTTATAGCAGTTCAACCAACCTGACAAGGTGTTATAAATTTCAGGTAACCAGTTGTTTCCAGAATCCACGGCAAAAGCCTGACAGCATCTTCGTATCCTGTTATGAATACGTGTTCAGCAATTATGCGTTGCTGATTGTCCTAGAGGACAGGATTAATCAGAGATTAGAAGAATCTATTGGAATTTCACTGACCGGATAATCCATCTGATTAGAAACTATCATGGCTAAACTTCGGGGATTTCTGCCGTTCCATGCTTGTACACGCTCCTGTACGAATTCGCCCACATCCTAGATTCAAAGTTGTTTAGAAAAGTAACATTCATAACGACATTCAAGGAATGAAATTTAGCAGAGCGAGAAAGGGAATGAACAAAAATGGTAATTTGTTATTAGACCTACTCAGCTTAGGACCATCCTTCGCGCCTACACAAACGGTCAACTCCATGGTATATCGCAAAGTTCTAGGATCCTTGCAGCGGTTTAGAGATCAGTTGCGCGCAAAAACCAGGCACGATAACAACTTGCAATCTCCCTCTGTCCAATGTAAAAGGGTACTTCCTCCTATTCCTTTTCCATCTTCCTTTTACAAAGAGACCGATCCTTGTCATGAAGCGGATGTTAAATTTCGTATACTGTCGGCAGGAATTTTGAATGTTCTTAACAAACATCGTGGTATGAAACAGTCTAATTTAACATATGCGCAAAGGCAGGGTTTCAAGGAGCTGCGTGAATTGACTTCCAACGGCACTATTCGTCTCACTGTTAGTGACAAGGGAGGCGAGTTCGTTATTATGCCGCAAAGCTCGATCGCAACATAACTGAACTTCATCTATCAGATGCTACAGTTTATCGTCGCTCAACCGAAAAAGAATTCCTTTCTCAAAGCAAGCGACTCAATCACATCTGGATGATGATCGGAAAGCAAGCGGGACTAGATGAAAAGTTTCTCAGTAGGCTTAAAATTGAAAATCCGGCTTGTCCTGTCTTTTATGGCCTCGTAAAGACACACAAACTAGACTTGACTGATCCACGAGATGTGACCGCTGCGTCTTGCAAAATTCGACCAATAATCAGCTGTGTAGGTGGGCCAATTGACAGAATTTCGTGGTTCCTTAGCAAGATCGTTAGTCAACTCTTATGTGAGATCCCCGCCCATTTGCCGAACACAAGCCGCTTCCTTGATCAACTACGCAAAACGCACTTTGACCAAAATTGCGTAATGGAGTCGTTTGATGTTACGTCATTATACACTAATGTGTCCAATAATGACGCCTTACAAGCGCTCTCTGAGCTGCTCGATTCACATATTACCAATATGGAAACATACGGGCTCAGTAAAGCGCGCATCATCTCCTTGGTCAAGGAATGCCTGGCATGCAACGTCTTCAAATGGTCGGGACAATATTATGCACAACTAAGAGGACTAGCGATGGGACAAAGACTAGCGCCCGCGCTCGCTATTTGCTTTATGAGCAAAATAGAGGAGCCGGTATTATCACGATGTCCCCTGATGTACTGCCGTTACATCGATGATTGTTACATTGCTACTGCAACTCAATCCGAAATGGATGAGTGCTTTAGAATCCTCAATGAACAATCACGGTACATCAGCTTGACAAGACAGAGACCACACGATGGCTGGCTACCATACCTAAATACACAGGTGATGTTGGAAAACGGAGCAGCACACGTCAAATGGTATCGGAAGGAGAGTTCTAAGAATATAATTCTGCATGCCACATCTGCGCATCCATCTGCTGTAAAACGAGCGATTATTCGCAATATGTTTAAAACAGCGCGCGATGTTTGCAGCGGTGAAGTTGAAAGACTAGAATCTACGAAGCTGGCATACGAGATAGTTGTCAAGAATGGTTACCAACTGCAGTCCAGATCTCGCAAGAGAACATGCGCGAACGCTAGCAGTCAGACTCGACCACGTATATCGCTATGCTTACCGTTCGTGTCCGATAGAGTAAGCAACGCTTTTAAGCAATGTCTAGTACAAGCGCAATTGGCGGATGATGTTGTTTTAGTGAACATACCCCAAGACAACATCAAAAAGCAATTGGTCCGCAATAGATTGTATGACAGACAATGCGTAATGCAAAACTGCGTTGTTTGCACAAATGAGAGGTTAGGAGACGGTTCAAAATGCGGAGTGATTTACCAGCTAGAATGTAAGATATGCCATGCCATTTACATAGGCGAAACTGGTCGACCACTTCATGTACGTGTCAGCGAACATCTGGCGAGTAAGAGAAGGCAAAATCTCGTAAGCCCTCTTGGAAAGCACAGGAAAGAGGACCATGGAGGAGATGATTTTGAAATCCAGTGTTGCATTTTGGCTGTCGAAAAACATATTGCTGCTCGAAAAGCGTTAGAGGCTTCATTCATACTTGCTCGTAATCCTAAAATGAACAGCAAGAACGAACATTTGTCTATCACTAGTGATCTGAAGCCGTTTCTACCATTTTGCGAGCTATGAGTAGCCTACACTATTTAAGCGTGTCGTACTTATTCGGACCGCTCATTTTGTCATCATCAGCTGTGGGCGACCGTGAGAGAGAGCTAACACCCTTACGCTCCTCACCAGGAACACTTGGTAAGCTGTTCAACTTGAGAACTTATCTGCGTCACAATAGATGAGTCAAATGTACGATTTGGAGGAAGTGTCTGGTGGTCTAGATCGTTTGATTAAAGAGTGATTGACTCGCTTTCAGGCCCCTGAAGACGGCATTCAGCCGAAACGTCGGGCAGTAAATAAAGTGTTCCTTTGAAAACCTGTTACGGCTCAAAACAATTGAACAAAAATGGTAATGTTGTACATATCATGCACATAAAGTTTTATTTAACCAGAATCAGAAATTTGAATATGCATAGATCATAATTACTTGAAGAAATTCTAATCTGGCATACTTTTTCTAAAATTTTTCAAACACTTTTTTCTTTTTTTTTCTTTCCTTTATTTTTACAAAAGCAGAGACTGAGTACAAAAAGGGATAGATTCTTGGGAGTTAGTCATTCTAGCCGCCGAAAGGAACCGCTTTTTGATTTTTTTTCTTATTCGCTTGTATGATAGCTGACAACAAATGATTTCGCTTGCATCAAAATCTTGTTGAAAATGATGGAATTTCAGAATTTCCGTTGCAAAACCATCAACCTTAGATATAGGGCATTTGAAAAATCGTGACGATGGCGCGACCGCGCGCGACACGCACGTACCTTCTGGCAACCACATTTTCTTGGTTTTAATCTATACTCGACTGGTTTTTCTGTCTAGCTATGGCAGTAATAGGACATTGGAAGCGACTGAGCCGATAGCTGAGGTGATGCCTTTTTGTAAAAGGATGTAATGCTTCTGTGGGCGCAAAGTCCGCAGTAAAATCCGTCGTCGCGATTTTATAAATGAACCTTACTTATCTGGCTGCAGAACCGTTTTTTTTTTCAAAACTGATAATGGGCAAATTTATCAAGTACAATAACTTCAATCATTAATGGCATAGTCTGTGAAATGGGCATTGCCTAGGCTAATCAAACTGAGTAAGTGATTTTAAGAGAACACTTTGATGGCTCAATCAAATAATGCTAAAATACGCTGGAATAAAGGAGAAGAAAAGCAAAACGCGAGCGGTCAAGTTTGTGCCAATGGGAAATTCCCAGATGGGATAACCGATAACCCACTGACGCCGGACCACTGCAAACATTTTCCCTTCGCGAATGTTTATAATATGGCTGAATGTTTGCGCCGTATACATCGCGACTCACACTTTGGACGTATCGTGGCAAGAAAAAAACACCGGAGATAAGGCCTATACGCTGGGGAAAACTGGACAGCGAACCTCCTCGAGGAGATGGTCAGAAAATAACCCAGCCATTTCAAACAAGCTGTATATCATCGGACTCGCCTTGAAGCGGTGATCACAAATATATGTTTATTATCTACCAAGCGACTGTCTGGGAGGAATTATGAGCGTTCAAACATAAAAAAATTTTTGAGTTTCGACGATTATACTTTCTTGAAAGTCTGATGGCGCGCATTTACAGTGGCTATGGTTATTTCAATTACAGTGGAGAAGCACGTTCACCAGAAACCTAAATAAGCGTTTTTGAAACCTATTTCGTGAAAATTACGCCACAGAACACTTGACAAATCGCAGATTGAAGTCGCTTGGCAGATAGTAAACATATATTTGTGATCAGCGCTTCAAGGCGAGTCCGATGATATGCAACAAGTTTGATATGGCTGGGTTAAGTTTTGACCATTCCCTGCTAAGGATACTAGATTGTCTCGAATTTGGAAAATGTAAACTCTTCGAATAAAACCATTTGGTTGGACATAGGCAAAGAGATCATTTTCTGGTGTTACTCGTCAAAAATCACTCTGGTAAATCGCAACATTCAAAGTAAAAAGAAAAACACTCAAATCGTATTTTTCCTACAGCAAAAATCTAGCGAATTCTTATTTCACTCGGTTTCGATTTTGTGACCTACTGTTCATGATCAAGAAAGATGCGTGCTGATCGGACGCCAGATAAAAGTTATCATTTTCAATTTTACGACCTTTTGATTTTGTGGAATATTCTATTAGGTCGTTCCGAAAGTAATGTCGCTTTTTTCAAACGTATGCCACATCTCGTGGAACAAAGATTTGTAAGAGATTCTGGAAGCATTTGATGCAGCATTTCATCCTCTTTCCAATGGTTATGAAATTGTCGCAAAACAGTCAATGAGCTTCCAGAAAAAAGTCAAAATCTGCGACCTATGCTTTTTGAAATGGCCAAGTTTCACAATTTCTCTAAAATTTTATAACAAATCTCAGAAGGAGCCCAAGTAATGGATGGATGGAGCAAACCCTACAGGAAACAGAACAACTTTTTTCTACTTTCCAGAGCTCGTCATAATTTTTGTACAGATTTTTTGATGGAACCACCGAATTTTAGCAGGCTCGTCTCAGATACAAATGCATCAAACACCAATAAATCTTCGGATTTTGAAACTTACAAAGATGGGTTATGGTTTGGCAACAATTTTACAAACCAAACGGGCATTCACCGCTTCGATTTAGCAACTTTCGAAAATTTCGGGTACACCTTGGAGTGCCTTGGAAAAGTCGAATTATGATGATTTTATCACGGAAAACTTGATGAATCGGAAACAAAAACAACCGCTAGAAAGAGGAGAAAAAGCTGCATCGAATGACACCGGAGTCGCTTGCCGATTGTTGTTGTGTGAGGTTTGACTTGACTAAATATGAAATTTGATGGCATTGAGTCGATTGTAGAAACTCT